ATGACCCCGCCAATGTTTTAGTTTAAAAGCAAGCTTCTCTTATCCTACGAAAGGGCAAGCCAGGCTTAGCTTTAAACCCAAAGGCAAATCTAGTAAGACAATTCATCTAGAGACACATCATCCATATTATCAGAAGTCAGCATAACACAACACTCTTAACACAAGAAAGCATGCTTTGATGTTTGTGGCAAGTAGGCAAAGCATACACAGAACAAGAATGTATTCCCAGATTTGTAAGGAAGTTGTCCAAAAAGTAACTCAAGTGCTACTTCGATGGTCCATAGGGCTATATATAACAGCTGCATAGAAGAAGGGATTTTACCCCGTGTAGATTCTCATGCAATCAACACTTGCTGAAATTCCCTCTCCTACACAAGAGGGGCAGGTGTCCTTGCTTCATCTGCATCTAGCTACCCTATGGTCCACTCATCCCTGAACTTGACTTTTACAGCCTGAATCTAAGCGAGTTTACTCAGAAGTAAGTGTCACTGAGGTCAACAAATAAATGTACAGAACACAACCCTGGAATGCAAGCTGACAAGCTATGGCTGCAGGATTAGGACCAATGCCCTGACCATTGCTTCTACAACATCATATGTACATTCTACAACATAAAGGATATTAACTTTAAAAAGATAAATCATAGAAGCACACAGTTAAAACTAATTGCTATGGATGTTTGTTTCAAAAGGCTCTTGCACATTACTTAACCAGAAGTCTAGAGTGAGGGATACCATGTGACATTACTTCTCAAATAGCAGGTCCAACAGGTTCACTTGACCTCCAAAGTCACATCCTCCATTGTCTCCTGAGATAGGCAGATGTCATCATGCCAAAAACAGTACCAGGTTCAACATCTGAACCACATGCAAAAAAAAAATGTAGGTTTTATATCTAGCAGACAGCCTTTACTGAGATTAGGTATCTTAGTTTCTTACACCAAGTTGCACAACAAAATATCTCAAAGGCAAACAGAAGTTTGGAGGCAAGCTATGACTAAAACTATGCAAGAGGAAATAGTGGTTATTTCATTCAGAAGATGCTAAAGCTGTCTACAGACGAAATACATTTATTTTACTTCAACGTGTTTTTATTTCATGTTATAAAAATAGGCTTATTTTCCATGAATTCCATAAAATCTTTCAAGCAGATACTAAATAAGCATTTAAAGAATTACTGCAGCAGATATAAAATGAGAAAATGTAAACGAAGGATGAATATATGCCGGATGCTCCTATTTGCAATATTATTTAGCTGCAGCTCTCTAATAAGCCAATCTTTTAAACAAATATTTAAAAGACTTGGAAGGAAGTTTCCTGGTGTTCATGGAACTTTCAAGCCAAGGGCTTCAGACTGGAGAGCTAGTAACAAGATCCACTATTCTGGTTAGTAAACAAGAGGCAGGTGGATTGTTGTTTTCCTCTGCCCACAGAAAAGTGACATCAGCATACATGATCCAGGAGAAAGCTAGCAGGGGAGCAAAAGGCTTTCCAAAAAAACAAGAGTATTGATTGCTCCATTTACAAGCAACAAGGAGACAGGGAATACAGACTCCGGTTTTGCTGTGATTTAGGGCACATGTGTTTCACAATGTGGTTGTGGTTTTTTTGTCACAGATGGAAACAAGATTAGCTGCAGCTCCACTGAAAGGTCCCATCACCTTATGCAAGTCCTTGCCCTGCCAATTACATCTTGTAAAGTTAAGTAGCATCGCAAGTACCCAGCAAAGAGCAACCAACTCTTGATGCTACATCTCTGCCCCTATTTTCCCTTCTCCTGAAACCTTGCAGTCAAAGGATGGGGAAAGCACATGGCCTTTACAAGTCTAATAGTAAAAGGGTGTTAAAGAGATCTTGTGCACAGAAGGTCATTTTAAAATGTTTGGAGGACCTCCCCCCCCCCAAAAAAAACCCCTGATATGCACTCAACCTATGCTTTTAATGCATCAAGGGCACTTTCAAACTGTCGCTATTATCAGGTGGGATTCAAGCATATAGTGGAAAATTCAGGTGTTACAACTAAAGCCAATTTGGCACTCCGCAAAGTCGGAAACAACAGGGGTGAAATGTACTGCAGTGTGGGATAATGTTTTTGGTTTTTTGCACAGTCATATAACCTCCCTGCAAACAAAATTGGAATGAATCAATAGATCACATAGGTCATCTAAACCGCCTGCAAATGTTGAACAGAAACGTCAGCTTGAATGCCAAATAAACAGATCACCTGGAAGGAAGCAAAGTTTGGACCGGAAAGCCAACAGGGATGAGAACTTGTGATACTCATGAACCCCAACTCTCATCAGTCCCAGCCAGCATTATCAATGGCCACAAATAATGGGAACTAATTCAAGTAATTCAACCACAAGTTCCTCATTTCTGGGTTGGAATGAGTAAATAGCCTCCAGAAGTCTTATCTGGGAGTTTTTGATTTTGCAAACGAACTCAAAACAGGAAGGATGGGTGAAAAATGAAAGAAGGGTTCTCTGCACAATGTGTTACCCCCTCCAGAGTTGTAATGAGTGGACTAATAGAGGAAGAGGCCTCGTGCTCTATCGGTTGCGCAAACTGTTCGCGGGAGACGAGGAGCAGGAGGTTTCCTATCTAGCTGGCAGTGGAACAAAGAGTCTCGTCTATTTTTTTTCTTCCTTTTTTTTTTGCTCGCGGAAAAGCACTGCCGAGGGCTGGCTTCTGCTGCTTGCGTGCTCTCCGCTGGGAACCAGTTGTGCGCATCTGGCCTGGCGTAGCCCCGGGATGCAAGCGGCAGGCAGGAGAGATGGAGGCAGCGGAGGAACCCCAGCGGTGGGCAGTCAAACGTACGCACCTCCCCTTTTTGGCACGGTTGCCTAGAAAGCCGTGAAGCCGAGAGAGAGAGAGAGAGAGAGAGAGAGAGAGAGAGAGAGAGAGAGAGCGCCAGCACAGACTACGCGATCCGTAGCTCGCCGGCAAATTTGGAATTGGGCTCAGGTGCGCAATGATGCCGCGTGGGAGGGGCAGCGCCGCGCGCGATCCTAAACGCAGTAGGCATAAACTTCAAGGCGCCTATACAGGCGCAAATCCAACTGAATCTCACGGGGCTTACTTACTCCCGGGTAAGTGAGGGGTGTTGCAGCCTTCTTGGAAGCATATCCCATTAGACTCGAGGCAAGATGCTGCGGGGATGAGGCTGCCCATACAGGGAAGGCGATGCCCTCTTGCGCACGCTTGCCTCAGGCAGCCTCCAATCCCTCCCTCCTCGGAATGAGGCGCTACCTCTTCGCCTAGCCACGCATGGAAAGGCGAGGGAGAGGGAGGGAGAAACAGGCAGAGTGACCGGCTGCATGATATCGCCACTGGACAACGCGCAGGAAGGATTAAAAAAATCGCACATTGGATGGGGAGAGGGTTGCAGTTACTCCTAAAGGCTTGCTTTTCTTTTCCTGCACAATGATCCATGCTGGATTTCCTAGGCGTCTCATATACCCTCTCCACAGCATCTGTGCAAGGCAAGCACACAAACACACACATCCCAACTCGCCCCACGCCAAACCAGCCTGCTTGAGCATTAGCTATTATTGCCACGCTTGGAAATGCTTGCAGGCGTCAATGAAATAGTGCAGCAACAAATACCCTCCGCGGAGCTATCAAAGCTCTCCGGTTTGTTGCTGCCGCCGCCGACATAAATAGAACAACCTCCAGATTCCACCATCCCCACCACTCCCTCTCTCTCCTTGGGGTAGCTAGTTCGGTAAGCCTGCGAAAATCAAATAATAAATTTAAAAAGTGGGGTTTTTGTTCCAAGACTCAGACAACTCTGCAATGATACGATTCTGTGATTCCAAAGCAACTTTCCACAGGAGGTTTTAAAGCTTTTAAAAACGAAACAAAAAAACCAACAAAACAACTCACCACGCTTGACAGACGAGAAAGGACAACAAAGCCCTAAGTGGGAACCCGCACGAGACTTTGGGTTTTTTGTTTTGTTTTTGGGCAATAAAAAAGAGCGACAAGAAAGAAACAGACGGGGATCTTTGTCAGAGATGAGGCGCGTATTTCTATAGCGAGTCGCTGACAAACACGGAGAGGGAATAGTATTTAGAGTCCCAGGGAACTTATCCTACGTGCCATTGAACTAGCTAAGAATAAAACTTCAAGGGGATGAAGAGAGGCCGAAATCTCAAACAGGCTCGCTAAGTCCCGTCAGTGGGACCTGGAGATAAATCGCCTTTCCGGCCTTATTATCCTCCTAGTCGACCCATTCACTTCATTCTGAGGGTAACTAGCGAAGGGTAACTACTTCGAAATCAGCACGCTTAGGATCGTGCTGCGCAACAGCTCTTGGAAGGCTCACTCCCCTACTGTGGGCGGGGTACAAGGGGGACTTAGGAGGATCGCTGCTCTGGGACAGCAGAGAGAGATGGCAAAGCCCACCATCCTGTGCGCACTTACTTGGGAGTAACTCCCAGTGCACAGCGGGCAAGGATCCGGCTAGGAGTTCCGGGGAAAAGATCGGTGCCAGCCAAACTTCGGAGAAATGCCACTCCCCCTTTATCAACACAGAAACATAACAGAGCCGGCGTGACACCGCTTTCTGCATTGCAAACCTCCCGCTACTTTCGTACCAAAAGCTAGAAATTTATTTATTTTCTAAAAAGCAAAAAACCGCACCCCATCCCTTCGCTTTGTTCAGCTCATCAATTGCAAATTAACCCAACCGGCATTAATCACTTGAGACCTGGGTTTTTTTTACCCCCGCGATTTATTTCTGCCTTTGCAAGGCATCTCCTCCTGGATCCCATCGGAACGCTTAATTAGGCGGGGGTGTGTGTGGTTGTTCTCAGGCTACAGATCAAAGCACGCGAACATCATCAAAAGGAGGCAGGTCTGATGAATGGGAAGCGGCGAGGTCCAGGGGGGCAAGCCGAACGCGGCGCTTGCATCTTACCCGCTCTTCCCCCCTTGGTCAAGAAAAATAAAATAAAAGGTGTGCACAGACAGACAGACATCCAGACCCTTTGCATTTACCCGTTGGCTTGTGTCTCCTGGTGCTCCTCCGTTCTCGCAATCTCTTTTGTCTTGTAAAAAATCAAGAGGATACTTATCGTGCAGATAGTCCACCTCTTCCGAATCGAACGCATCTCTCCTTCCTCCGGCAAATAGGCGTGCGCGCGTTTGTGTGTATGTTCCTTCTGTTTCCTTTGTTTGGCAGGATGGGTTTTGAAAAAGGAGAGGAGAAAAAGAGCAAGGGATCAAATTAAGGACCAGCAGCCAAAAATCAAAAGCCGGCGGGATGCTGGAGGGATCAAAGGCGACGGCGGCGGCTGTTTCCCCTGGGCAAAGTCCTCTTGCCCACGCGCTCCCGCGAGCTCCTCGCTCCAGCCTCTCCGCGCTCCTCTCACGCTGCCTTCCAGTTTAGGTAACAGCAGAGGCGGCAGCCGCCAGTCTCCGGGGCGTCACTTAGCGCCGCCCTCCTCCTGGCGGTGAAATGATGAGCCGAGCCCGGCCAATAGGGGGCCAGAGGAGGCGGAGACGGCGCCTGCCCGAACTTTAAAACAGCTCCCGGCTCGGAGCTGCTCGGCAAAGCGGAGAGGAAAAAGGATGTCTAGAACGCAAGCGGCATCTCTTCCATCTAAGGGGTTGCAATTCAGTCCCGGGGCGCAGTTTTGCTCGGAAATAAGTTCTAAATCAATGCAACGGGGCTTAGGGAGCGTGCGCAGGATTGCTGCCTTGCACTCGGGAGGAATGATCCTTACTTGCAGCCCGCTGCCCGGTTTTGTTCGTAGAGACCCGAAAGATGTGAACGACAACTGATGGTTGGAGAGGACGCATCTGAAATCCGACCCCTGTAATGCAAGAATCTTTCGCCCCAAGTGGGATTCGAACCCACGACCCTGAGGTTAAGGGTCTCGTGCCGAAAGCTTGTGCTGTCAACGCAGCCTGGAGCAGACTCGCGGCTTGGTCTGTGTTATATTGAGGTGCAGTAAGTAATGGGGCAAAAGGGACGTGGGTGGCGCTGTGGGTTAAACCACAGAGCCTAGGGCTTGCTGATCAGAAGGTCACGGTTCGAATCCCTGCGACGGGATGAGTTCCCGTTGCTCGGTCCCTGCTCCTGCCAACCTAGCAGTTTGAAAGCACGTCAAAGTGCAAGTAGATAAATAGGTACTGCTCTGGCGGGAAGGTAAACGGCATTTCTGTGCGCTGCTCTGGTTCGCCAGAAGCGGCTTTGTCATGCTGGCCACATGACCCGGAAGCTGTACGCCGGCTCCCTCGGCCAATAAAGCGAGATGAGCGCTGCAACCCCAGAGTCAGTCACGACTGGACCTAATGGTCAGGGGTCCCTTTACCTTAAGTAATGGTGCACTGTAAGTACAGCCCAGCCTCCATTCTCTCTCTCTCTCTCTCTCTCTCTCTCTCTCTCTCTCCCATCCCACTAGGAGAAAGCCTTCCTTGGAGTTGTATATAACCGTGTTTAATAAACGTATCCGTGTGCGTGGACTTTGAATGTCAAGCTTCAACAGACAACCCAGGACGGGTTTCAAGGGCGTTTTAGGTTGGATTAAGCTGCATTCCAAACTTCCAGGCTGCTTATAGCTGGGACTCAGTGGTATAGGAAAACATTCAAAGACAAGCGAGCAAATAGTTCAGGCTCAAAGGCTGGGCCATTCTAGAAATACCTACCCCAATTATTCTTGCATGAGAGGGCTGGGGATGTTAACTGGACAACCGTGAGGCAGGGGTGCCAACTTGAATAAAATATTGTGGGGGCCCAGGTAAGCACCGCCCTGCGTAATTGATCACATGCAGTGCTTTTTTTCTGATAAAAAAATGTTTAGGGGTACTCTCATTTTCCTACTCATATTGAAATACTGCCCCTCAATGAGGCCAAACCTAGTTTCACAAAATGTTTAGGGGTATGCGTACCCCTGTGTACCCCCAGAAGAAAAGCACTGATCACATGACACAGTTCACATACACCGTTTGAATGAGAATGCCCATCAACTTTGTGGGGGCCCGCCCCGCTCAAATATTTTATTTCTAGGGGCCCCCACAGCCCCTGTAAATTGGCTCCTATGCTGTGAGGACAATTAGTAGAGTCTGTGATGGGTGCATCTGTGTCTTAGATTCAACATAAAACCCAACCAGAGTTTGGCATTGCACACACTAGCCTTGGACTGACGCACACTCCTCTCCCCTTCTCTACTGCAGCTGCAAGAGGGAGGAGATGGGAAGCTTTGATTCTATTTTCAACTAACCACAGTTTCTTGTTCCGTCCAAATCTGGACAAACTGAGATAATTAATAGTTATTGACTGAAATAAGCCAACGTCGAACCATGAATGATAATTGCGGCTTCTTTCAATAAACTTTAGTTGGCACCGACCATAGTTCCCAATTCAAACAATAACAAACCAGTCAACTGAAAACAGAAGCAAAAGTGTCCTGTCTCCTCCTTATGGCCATGCTCTTGCAGGTAACACTAAACTATGGTTTAGCACAGGGATGGTCAATGTGGTACCCTCCAGACCTTTTGGATTCCAACTCTCACAGCTTCAGTCAGCATATTCATTGGTCGGGGATGATAGGAGCTGTAGCCCAATACATCTTCAGAACACCATGTTAGCTATCCCTGATTTAGCATTACTTCTGAACCATGGCATAGTTGAGTAGCAAACACATGTATTTTAAGTATTTTTTGCCTGTATTTTCAACTTTAATTCAAAATAAAATTCAAAATTATATAGCTAATCCAACCAGTGACATGTTTCTGGAGCAATTTTGTATATGCACTTATAAGAGTCCCATTGCATTCATACACAAGATATATGGTTAATTTTCAAAGATAATGTTTATTTCAATTCAAAACACATCTACTGAAGGAAAAAATAATCCAGGCAGAATAATCTACTGCACAAGCCATCTCCAAACTCAGCATATAATAAAATCAATAATAGTTCTCCAAAAGCTGTGAGATATGTTTGCTTGCGTGGGTAGATGGGTGGGTGGGTGTTACTTGTGAAGTGGAGTATCCCAATAGATGTGTGACTCTGATTTTTAAGTTGTGTTCCAGTGGTGGGAAGGTACAAAAGTGACAAGAAATGGAAGCCCTGTTTCCAAACAACGCCAGTTATTTGATAGCAAAGCTGACTATTGAAATATAAATTATGTGGCTTGTGTCAAACGAATCATTTCTATGTATGAATGCTAAATAGTTCAATTAAAGGAATGAAGACACCAGCTGAGAAAAATCCAGTTTCATGGCCGTTAAAGATGACACAGTTTGCTTCATGAAGTGGTCCTGAAAGAGCAAATGTGAATAATAGAAATAATTGTACATTTAAGCTATTCAAATTACAATGTGCTAATTAGCACAGCCAGTGTGCGTTTTAGGGAATGCACTACATATCTCGTTAAAAAAAAAAAGCATTATCATGCAAAAGCCTTAACTGCACTTCTATTACCACATTTTATTGAACACAAATAGAGGCAGTTATTGCATAACAGTTAGAGTGTTGGACTAAGAGTAGAGAGAGCCAGGTTCAAATCCTCATTGATCATAAATCTCACTGAGTGACCTTTGTTACAGGTAGGTAGCCGTGTTGGTCTGCCGTAGTTGAAACAAAATTTAAAAATTCTTTCCAGTAGCTCCTTAGAGACCAACTAAGTTTTTTATTGGTATGAGCTTTCGTGTGCATGCACACTTCTTCAGATACACTGAAACAGGAGTCACCAGACCCTTAGAGGGTGGGGAGGGGTACACCACTAGTAATCACATACAGTTCCCAAGTTAAAACAGTTCAACGCATCATCAGAGATCTACAACCTCTCCTAGACAATGACAGTTCTCTTTCCCAAGCTCTGGGAGGAAGACCGTTCATTGCCTACAGACAGTCACCCAATCTTAAACAACTCCTCACCCACAATAATACAACAACCAGACTTAACATGGACACCGGTACCAGAGCCTGCAATAAACCCAGATGCCAACTTTGCTGCCACATATTCCCGGACAACACCATTACTGGCCCCAACGACATCAAACATACCATCTCAGGACTATTTAATTGCTCATCTTCTAACATTGTGCATGCTATCAAATGCCAACAGTGCCCTTCAGCTCTCTGTATTGGACAAACAGGCCAAACCCTATGCCAAAGGATAAATGGACATAAATCTGACATCAGGAATCACAAGACAGAGAAACCAGTAGGAGAACACTTCAATCTCCCAGGACATTCTATGCAAGATCTCAAAGTAGCTGTCATATTACAAAAGAATTTCAGAAATAGACTGGAAAGAGAAGTTGCTGAATTGCAACTTATTACCAAACTTAAAACCATGGAGAGACCTGGTCTGAATAGAGACATTGGATTCTTATCTCATTATACACGATAAAGCTATTTTTAGCCATCTCGCTCCTTGCTTTTTCCTGTAAGACCAATTGCAGTCATTAACAGTCATCAACAGGTTTACCACACCTAATACCCCTCTCCACCTTCTCACTACGGTATATATAAGGGTCTGGTGACTTCTATTTCAGTGTATTTGAAGAAGTGTGCATGCACACGAAAGCTCCTACCAATAACAAACTTACGGTAGTTGGTCTCTAAGGTGCTACTGGAAGGATTTTTTTTATTTTGAGTGACCTTTGGACAGTCATTGGACTGGTTTGCACATAAGACTAAGCCATGATTTACTAACATTTTACATAGTAAATACACATGGTTTGTTTGATCATCCAAGCCTAGCTCTGCAGCTTAACATAAGCCACGGTTTGTTTAGCTTACAAAGCTTGTTGTGTCTTCACTATAGCTCAGCATAATGTGCAAATGTGACCCCAGTATCTTTATTTTATTTAACAGGATTTAAACACCACTTAATAATCAAAACCCCTCAGCAGTTTACATAGAATATACATTAAAAATACAAATAAAAGAAGATTTTAAACACAAGTTGATCTAAAAAAATGACAAAATATTAATGAAATCAGCTGTTTTAAAAACGCGTACACTATAAAATAAAATTAGATATTAAAATGTCAGATGTACACATCTGAGTAGGCTTGCCAGAGCAAAAAAGAAGAATTTTAGCCTCCCCTACTTTACTGGATGATTGTGAAGATAACATGGCTCATTGCTCTGAGCTTCTTAGAGACAAGCTGGAATAAGAACGTAATAAATCTGGGAGCCATGCCCACCTCAGTAGAAGGGGTGATCTTCCAAAAACCTGGTGTGGCTCCTTCTGGATTCTCACAGCTTTAAGCCAAGTGTCACACGCTCAAGTGGGTTAAAACACCCCAAGTTTGAGAGTGTTTGAACTTTTGAATAAAGAGAGGGACACCACAATAAAGAGGGCATCTTGGAAATGGAACACCTTTCTAGATTTTTTAGCTGTACAATATTTGCTAAGAATTAGAGAGCGCTTTCGTCTGGTGAATC